CCTCACATTTCTATGCGAGGTCTTTTGGTTCACAGGCGGAAAAAAACCCAGAATTGCCTTTCATGTCCCCAAAAGAAAAATTATCTGTTATTTTGTATGTATATACTTTAGTATGATACTAATTTTAGTGCATTAAAATGATTAACCTATTAATCTTTAATTTAGTTAGTTTCTTTTGCTAGATTACATTTATTTATTTGATTATTTTATGGAGAAGAAGAGGACTTTGTTTGAGCTAATTTTCCAATATATGATTTCTAATAATCTTTAAAAGTTAACAACCTGTTGTTTTGTAATTTAGTTTTTGAAATTTAATTTAAATTGTGCTGACAAAAGATTAATCTCACCGTCTTAAAAAAATGGTTTGTTTTGATCCTCCTGCTGACCTCCAGGGACCTCGATGCTAGAAGTCCTCACTCCCTTAACCTTCTAACGGGGTATTGAGGCTGGAAGACTGCTTCCTCCAGGTGGTACCTGACACTTCTGACAATCGCTCTCCTCGGAAAAAATCAGTCAAAGAGAATCCTGCTTTGACAACGCCAAATTGTCTGGGGAAAAAAGTTTTCAACTATTCATCCTAGTTAAATAAACGGAGATTGATGGATTTCACTCAGTCTGATTCCTGGTGTTGTGAATGAAATGGTGCCCAGCTTGAAAGAGCTCCTGTGTGTCGCTGAATGTGTGCATTGATGACTGAAAGACATCTTCTGCCTCCATTTATCTGTTTACTACATTGTGTTGAATCCATGTTAATGTGCATTTAAATATATTTCAATTAGTAGAAAAAATGCAGGGGGGAATATAAAAAAAGCCTAATCAACCACAACTTTTGCGACCCCCATGCAGTACCTCTGTGGACCCCCGAGTGGTTGCGGACCCCCTGTTTAAGACCACTGCTTTAGACCATAAATGATCAGTAGACTCTATGCTGTGTTGAACAGGTGCTGTTCTACAGTTACTACACTAAATGGCAATAAAAGGCAATTGAAGGAAAAATCCCAACTACAAGATAATATTTTTGTACACAAAAATATTATCCTTTAAGATTCCCATACAAAAATAACTAGATTGCCTGTCAAAAAAAGTTGCAAAAAACACAACAATCCCTGAAAAGGTTCATGAAAAGGCAAAACTGAATAATTGCTACAGAGTAGCCTAGGTTATAGAGCAGCCTTTATTTTGGAATATAGCTGCACATATATAACGATCTTTCCCATGGACCATATGCCAAACTCCACCACTTCCTGGACTTCAGCCAGGTCCTTTGTTTCCTGTCTTTCATTACTGGACAAACTGATTAACCCATGTGTGTCTGGTTAATGTTGTCATGGTCACTGAGGTCAGATACACCTTAATCAATTTGTCCAGTAATGAAACAAAGGAATGAAAGGAGCTGGCTGAGGTTCAGGAGTTACCAGAGTTTAATGTATAGCCAATTTTGCCTCAACAGCCTTTTCAGTAATGTTCGGCTCCCTCATGTGTCCATTTTCTGTAACATCAGCTTGTGAAACCTTTTTAGCCCCGAACATTCAACAAAACAATCAAAAATAGTCCAAGATCCAATCCCTCCATGCATCCACACAGGAAAATTCAGGTAAATGCCTGAACAGATGCTTCTGCTTTAAAAGAGATCGCTTTCCGACCAGTTGCAGTCCCACTGTTGGGTTTACATAACTAGTCCTTTAGATACGCCATTTTTTTTGACAATTTAATGGCAAACTTAAATAACTGCCACATAGAGGCCTGGGTCTTAGCCTTAGCTTGACGTCTGCTGGACGTTTCTTCCTGTGAAAATGGACTTTTTTCCTCTCTAGTGTCGCTAAAAGCATGCTTT